AGACTAGCAGTAGCAACATATGCCACTGGAGGTTCTTACCTAACCAAGTAAAAAAAAACAAAAATCAAAATGACTGCCATTCATGTAAGTTGGGCATTTGCCTCGGGTGGACGCACGCCCTGGAGAGAACGATCATGGGAGGGGGAGGGGCTGCTTGTGCACAGGGAGATAGCTCGGGGTGCAGGGGAGTGTGGGGGGTGGACACTGGGAGGAGGTGGCTGTGGGGAGGAAGTGGGAGGGGAGCTGCTGCATTGTGGATTTTGGTCAATGACGTGAGACAAGGTATGTGTGAGCTGCTGTGTGAAAGGTGAATTTGCTCTGTGGATCTTCACCCAAATCCTAAAAAAAAAAAAAAATCACTGCCATTGAGTCAATCTTGACTCATAATGGCCACTCCTTGGATTTCCAAGATGGTATCTCTACAGAAGGAGACTGCCCAATCTTTTTTACAAGGAGTGGCTGGTGGGTTTGAACCACCAGCCCTCTGGTTAGCAGTCAAATGCCTTAGGCACTATGCCACCAGAGCTTCCAACATGTCCAAGCAGAACGAGGAAAAGAAAAGTGTGGAAATTAGTGGCTGGCATCAGAATTTCTCTAAAGGAAAGAACTGTCTTAATATTATTTGATAAATGCTTGGATCAAAGGTGTTTGCTGAACATTTGTATGTCAGCTGGCACCAAAAATTTAGAAGGGACAGGAAGATGCTTGTCACTGTCAAAGGAGTGGAACTTGGAGCTTCAGAGGCCATCAGAGGAGATGACAGGGCACCATGAGCAGAGAGAGGATGGCAGAGGGTACCATGACCAGAAAGGGGAGGGGAGAGGAAAGAGGAAGAGGGGGAAGCAGAAGGTTGTGCACCTTGTGAAACACTGCACTCCCTACTCTGACCCAGCTGTAATAAATGCTTAAAACATTTGGCTGCTAACCAAAAGGTCAGTAGTTTGAACCCACCAGCCACTTCACAGGAGAAAGATGACGCAGTGTGCTTCCTTAGAGATTTACAGACTTGGAAACCCTATGGGGGCAGTTCTACTCTGTCCTATCGGGTCACTATAAGTCAGAATCATCTCAATGGCAGTTGGGCTTTTGGATTTACTGTCTTAATCCCATGAGTTCTGAGATGGTTTGTTACACAGCATTATTACAGCAATAGCTGACCACTACAGGACCCCTTTCTCCCAAAATTGCCAGCAGATCTCGGGTGGTGTATCTCCAATAGTGCCAAACAAGGGGCTAGATAATATAGTGTGGCTTTTTAAGAAGGAGCCCTGCTGGCACAGTGGTTAAGCACTTGGCTGCTACCTGAAAGGTTGGCAGTTCGAACCTACCAGCTGCTCCATGGGAGAAAAGACCTGGCCACCTGCTCCCATAAAGGACGTTGCTGTTAGGTGCTGTTAAGTTGATGCTGAATCACAGAGATTTGACATACAACACAATGAAACACTCCCAGTCCTGCACCATCCTCACAATCTTTGCTGTGTTTGAGCCCATTGTTGTAGCCATTGTGTCAATCAACCTCATTGAGGGTCCTTCCCTTTTTTGTTGACCCTCTACTTTACCAAGCATGATATCTTTCTCCATGGACTGGTCCCTTGTGACAACATGACCAAAGTAGGTGAGACAAGTCTGGCCATTCTTACCTTTAAGGAGAATTCCAGCTCTACTAGGCCATAAAGGTCATAGCCTAGGAAATGCTATGGTGCTCTTCTGCCCTCTAAAGGGTCACTATACATCAGTATCAGCATAATAGCACACAACAACAATGATGACAGGGTCAATCATCCCAGCCTCTGTTTCCTCTTCTTCCCACAGGGGCAATAAGGTATGTGTCCAGGGCGGTTGTGAAGATTTAATGCGTTAATGCCTGTGAAGTACTGAGAACAAAGCTGTTCTCAACAAGGCTTGGCCATTGGTGAGTGTGTCCATCTCCCTTAACTGGACTCACACCTGCTGAGGGTGAGTGCCCCTCATTTGCCCTTCTCTCCCTGGTGTCCCCCAGTACAGTAAGCATCCATTGTTTGCTGAAAGTCTGGAGCAAAATCAGCCCTTTTATTTGTACCGATGCAAATGTCAATATTCTATTTCAGCCTCAGGCCAATATCTTGGTTCTTTTTATAAAATGCACATGCCATATTTATTGTTTTTACTACTGTACTTCTCTCTCGCTCTCTCCTGTGCAATGGAATGACATTTTAAACAGTCTTTACTGTCTGACATTAACAGGCCTGCCAATCCCAGCTGTTCCTAATTGGAGCATTCCCCAAGAGCTCTTTGCCAGTGGAGCCAGAGGGGTTGGGGGCATCCTCCTGGCGGGGCCAGGAGCAGGAGTGACAGAGCAGGAAGGATCACAGTCTCCCAGGAATCCAGGGGCAGCCACTTTCAGGAACCAGATGTGCTTGGTGCCTTCGCAGCTCCAGAGCTCCAGCCTGCCTGGCAACCAGCCCCTTGCCTGGCAACCAGCCCCTTGCCTGCCCCAGCCTCCCTCCCTGAAGCTGGGGTTTGGGAGGCTTTGTCTCCACTGGCCCCATGAGACATCACTCTAGGAAACCTCCCTCCCACTTTCCTTCTTGCGTATCCCTGTGCAATAGGTTGGTGGGGAGAGAATTGACCTTGGGTTCCAATCCTGCTTCTGTCACTTACCACCTATGAGATCAAAGCAGAGTGTTTAACCAGGGTCTCAACTACTAAGCAAAAGTTGAGCAGTGTGAGCCCACCCAGAGGCTCCAGGGGAAAAAGGCCTGGTGGTCTCCTTTTGAAAAATCTGCCACTGAAAACCCCATGGAGCACAGTTCTAGTCTGATTACACGTGGGTTGCCATGAACCTGAGTCAGCTGGATGGTAACAGGCTGGATGGAGTCCTTGCATAGCAAAGGTGGTTAAGCACTCAGCTGCTACCCAAAAGTTTGGAGCTTTGAGTCCACCCAGAAGGGCCTTTGAAGAAAGTTCTGGGGATCAACTTCCAAAACATCAACATTACAAATGCCATGCAGCTTAGTTCTACTCTGACACACGCAGGGCTGTGTCAACTGACTCCATGGCAACTGCTTTGGTTGTTATGGTTTTCAACGTGGGCTGCTGGGGAGAGGGCTCAGGTCCCATCCCACCATGAAGAATGGAAGCTCTGTCATTCCCATCCTGTTTTCAAAGGCATCTACCACCCAAAACCCTTCAGAATCACAAGTCTTGGGCCATGGCTTCAGCCCCACAAGCCTCAGTTTCTTCCTCTGAAAAACGAAGGTCATGATAACATCCTCTGGCTTCGCTTTATAGGAATGTTTAAGGGGAAAATAAGAAAACAGGTCTGAACCATAGACTGCTGCAGAGATACAGGGATTTGTTACTAATTCATTATGCCAATCATTAATTCAGAAAATACGTGGGTAGCTTGGGTTTTGAAAGATGTTGCATCTAACCACTAAAACCTGTATGTAATTCTCCATGTCTTCTTGGATCTGGACATTAGTGGAATTAGACTCGAGGCCAGGATGTGGATTAGACAATGCGGGTCCTCAGTAGTAATGACAGCAGGTAACACTGTGCACTTTATACAGTTCTTGTGGTTAGTTGCACTGAGTAGACTGAGTCATGGGCCCCTCATGGACACCAGCGTCGACTGCTGTGATCCACACGGTTCTCATTGGCTGAGCTTTGGAAGCACATCACCAGGCCTTTCTCCTTGTTCTGTGTTAGTCTGGAAGCTCTGCTGAAATCTGCTCAGCATCATGGCAACACACCCGCCACCACTGACAGATGGGTGGTGGCTCCACAGGAGGTGCATCGGCTGGGAATTGAACCCTGGTCGTTAGCATGGAAGGCGAGAATTCTACGACTGACCCACCAATGCTCCTTCTGTGCACTTTGTATATCCTCAGATTTAAGCCTTATGCTAACCTCCTGAGGGAGGTTTATATCATTTCCTTTTTACAGAAGAGGGCACTAAGTTCAGAAGTTTAAGAGCCTTGCTCAAGCTCAGGCATCAGAGTGGGGTTGTGATAGCAGCAGCTGTTAGTTCCAACCCCTCAAGTTCTTAACCAGGATGCCATCATCCACATCTGCCTTTAAGAAACTGAGAGATGAGGATGCTGCTCACTCTACATCATCTGTCTCTGGGTAAACCGATTCTTCCTTCTCAGGGGCCTGGAGAAATGCTCTGATTCTGAAAGCTGGGCTTGGGATCTGACCCGGCAGTTCACCATGCAGGGAACTGAAAGAAAAGCTCATCTTCTTCTCCTATAAAATGGGTATACTTCTGCGACCCTCACAGGGCCACCTGGAACATTCTGGTGAGATATTCCTGTGCCTGGTGGGATATTGGTGCTCATTTGAGCCTTGCATCTTTTCCTTTCCTTGCATGTAAAAGTAAGGACAGGAGAACTAGTCAATGAAGAAGAAAGGGGGTGCTGTTAGGCCACAATCCACTGAAAACCCCAGTTCACTTCATGTCTGTGGTTGGGAACAGCCAGAGAGGCAATGAGGGAGAGAACTCTGCTTGGAAATGAGGATCAAAAACAAAGAAAACAAACAAGCTAAACTAATTGCCATTGAGTCGACTCCAATCATAGCAAACCCATGGGTGTCAGAGTGGAATCGTGCTCCACAGGGTTTTCAATGGCTGTGACCTTTCAGAAGGGGATTACTAGGGCTTTCTTCTAAAGTGACTCCTGGGGGATTTGAACTTTACAGTTAGTAGCCAAATGCTGAACCATTTATGCTACCTAGAGACTCTACGAAGTGAGGATACATGGGTCTCATTCTGGCTTGGTCCTAGACTCACTGTATGACTCTCTGTGTGACACTGTGTCCCCCTGTGCCACCCACTGCAGGGCCATTGGGAAGAGTAAATGAGATAAAGTGTCCCAAGGAGCTGAGCACAGTGCCTGGCAGAGAGGCACAATGACACTCCTTCCTGATCCCCGTCGGGTCAGCGCCTGTCCCTGCATGACCTGCAGTGCTGACCCTGTGGAGGGGTTGGAGCTCATGGGTGAGGGAGGGGCACCTACCTTTCACAGCTCCTGCTTCATCATGCTTCTCAAAGAGCAGGTAGCGTGGGCTCTCGGGGAGGAAGGGCAGGCTGACCAGCTGGATGAGGGCAGGGACGACAATCACTCCAAAGAGGTATGGCCAAGTGCTCTCCTGCAGAGAGATGGGGATACTGCTGAATGGGGACTGAACCATGTGACTCTGCAAAAGTTCTCCCTCCCCAGTGTGATCCCCAAAACAAAGGCCAAGGGCAGATGACTACCACTGTTAAACACCAACCCCGTGCATCCAGCATTTTCCAGGCATAAGGTCAGTGAATTCTCCTAGGCCTGTGAGACAGTGATCTGTGGGGTCACTCTGAGAGCGAGGTTCAGGGTGTCCAAGGGTCTAAGATGCCCAAGTACCATTCAATGAATTCAAAAGACTCCAGACTGGCTGACTCCATGGCCCCTGCTGGCATCCTTGTGCACACTATAAAGGGATTTGGGCTCTTTCTCAGCTGTATGACCTTCAAAATGATTTGCACAGCTCCTTGGAACATTTGACTGCTAACCAGAAGGCTGGCGGTTCAAACCCACTGGCCACTCCTTGGAAGGAAGGTTGGGCAATCTACTTCCATAGTGATACTGCCTCAGAAACCCAAGGAGGGGTCTCTATGAGTTGGGTTTGACTCGATGGCAGTGCATTTGATTTTTTGGTTCATTTGGAATCTCCTTCACTTGTAGCAGGGAGAGACCACAGCCACCTCACTGTGTTCTGAGAATGGAATCAGAAAACATTTTGATGTGGAGCCTATGCAGTATGTGTCTAGTTGTTGCTACCACTCATACTGGTGCCACAGCCTAGACCACCTCCAAGGGCCACCATATCTGATGCATCAGTGAAGATACAAGACAGATGGCAGGTGCTTCCCCAGTGTCCCCATGGAGATGGGGGTCTTGAGGGCTGGCAGCACCAGTTACCCTTAGGTAAGGAAGACTTTAATTTTCCAAAAGGCCTTACAACAGGCACTATTCAAGAGGCATCCTAAGTCACTTCAGGTAGCACATTCATGCATTTAAATGCTGCCTGAGTGGCATTACAAAGCCGGTTGAGGCAGCATTCTTCCTGGTCTTTTCACCCAGGATTATAAATAAGCTCCAGCTGTGAGACTGAAAGGAGCAACTATCTCCTGAGAGGCAGGTCTGAAGGGAGAAAGAAGAAAAGCAAAGGGCTCATTGCCAAATTCTTCTTTTTTTTTTTTTTAATTTTATTTGGATTTGGGTGAAGATTTACAGAGTAAATTCACTTTTCATACAGCAGTTCACATATACTTTGTCTCATGTCATTGACCAAAATTTACAATGCAACAGCTCCCCTCCCACTTCCTCCCCACAGTTACCTCCTCCCAGTGTCCATCCCTTCATACTCTTCTGCACCCTGAGCTGTCTCCCTGTGCATAAGCAGCCCTTCCTTCTCCCATGATTGTTCTCTCCAGGGCATGTGTCTACTTGAGGTAAATGTTTAACTCACATGCCTGTACTTTGTTTGGCTGGAAACCACAGGTGTGGGTTCAATTCCAGACCTGAAGGACAGCTAGGGGCCATAGTCTCAGTGGTTCCACCAGGCTCTATTGGACCAGCAAACCTGGTCCCCCCCTTTCTTCTTTTTTTTTTGCCTCCAAATGATTTTGAGTTTTGATCCACATTGTTCTCTCTCTCTATGCAGGATCTCCTACATCCCTTCCAAGTGGATGTCATTGCCAAATTCTTGACGTGCTTTATTTCTTAACAAAATTAAAAAAAAAAAAATAAAAGAGAGAGACAGTTATTCTGGTCCTCTTATGCTGCTTTTACAGAAAATACCACAAATTGGTCTTAATAAACAGGAGTTTCTTCTCTTCTAGTTCGGAAGGCTAGAAGTCTGAGTTCAAAAGCCAACTCTAGGGGTTGTATGAAAGCCCCTTGACTTTGGGCTTCAGCTCTGCCTCTTGTTCCCAGCCCACTGGAGCTGGAGGGTTCTCTTCACTCAGACAGCTGCTGGCTGCTGAGGCTGACAAACCCAAGGTTGACAAATCAAATGGCACAGACCCAAACAACAACATGGCAGGCCACTAGTTCAAGTCCAGAGACAGTTCCAAGACCAGCAGACAACATGGCAGGCTGTTGAATGAAGACAGCTACACTGGGTCCAAGCATGCCAAAAAGCTCTGAGATATTTCTCATTGCTCCTTCTTACGTAGTGGAAGCAGACCACATCCCTAAGGCAGCTACTCAGCTGCTCCAGAAGACTCTCCCATGGAGTTGATTGCCAGTCTCATCACAGGAAATAACTACATCCAGCTGTCCAGCCACTCAAAACCAGGCCTGGTCAAGTTGACACATAACCTTAACTACTACAACAGTCAAGGTTAAATGATGATGAAGTTGAGTAGAATCAAAGTTCAGTCTGCATCCTGTCTGTTACCTTGGTTGGAGGCAGATAAGTAAATATGATAACTAAGTTCTTTAAGAGCTGAGCTGAATTAAGGCCCAATCCTCCATCCTGTTCATTATTATTCCCACCTTGGTTAATACAGATGGGCGGGCATGATAACTCATGAATCAAAAAGCTCAGTGTGCATCCTATTACCTTGGTTGGAGGCAGATAAGTAAACTGATAACTCAGTTCCTTAAGAGCTGAGTGGGAGCTCTGGTGGCATAGTGCCTAAGGCATTTGACTGATAACCAGAAGGCTAGTGGTTCAAACCCACTGACCACTCCTCAGAAGGAAGATTGGGCAGTCTACTTCCATAGTGATGTTGTTGTTGTTGTTAAGTGCCGTCGAGTTGTTTCCAACTCATAGCGACCCCATGCACAGCAGAACAAAACACTGCCCGATCCCACGCCAGCCCCACAATCCCTGCTATACTTGAGCCCATCATCGCAGCCACCATGTCAATCCATCTCGTTGAAGGCCTCCCCCTCCATAGTGATAGTGCCTCAGAAACCCTCGCTATGAGTCAGATCTGACGCGACGGCAGTGAGTTTGGTTTGGTTTTGGTAAGAGCTGAGCTGAATTGAAGCTCAGTTCACACATCCTCTCCATGCTATCCCCCACCCTAGCTAGAAACAGGTGGATAGGTATGTTAATACGTTTCCTTATTTTCTCAAAAATTTTTTTTTTGCAGAAAATAACTTGAAATCAACTTTGGCCCATGGACACGTGCAGTGAGGCAAATGGGAACCAAGTTGCTCGGAACTGACATTACCCCCTCTGCCTAAGTCCAGATCAGCTGATGACAGGAAGTCAGTGTGACTCGTCTGGTTCAAAAGTGCACTGCATTAAAAATTGGCTGTCCCTTTAAACTGTGGCAAAGGAAGCCTCAGCCAATTCCCTGTTAATTCATGCCCAAATTCCTGGCATTTTTATGAATATGTAAAAACCCCTCTCCTGAACTCTACAAAAACTGTATCCCAACCTCCATTTGGGGAGTCAGATCTGGGTACTGGCTCCTGTCTCCTCACATTGCTGCTTTGCAATAAATAATTTTCTCTCCTCTTAATCATTCAGTGTGTAAACTAGTTTGGCCTAATTGCGCACCAGGCAGGGGCCCATGTTTGGTCCACCTTCAATGACACATTCATACCTGAAAAGACTTCACACAGTAGGTGAAGGTTCTGGTAGCTTTAGGTGAGATCCATAGAATCCTTGAGCATCAAACCTGTGGTGACCTCAGCTGTCATTGTGTCCATCTCTCTTATGATCGTTCTCTTGGCAAAATTTCCTCAAGCTATTCTCTAGGGCTCCCTCCCTACTGAGGCCCTGATGACAAAGGCCTTCTGTAAGTTCTAGGATAGCATTAGGTAAAGCAGGCAGGGACCCCTGAAGTTCAAGGAGAGAAATGGTTTGCCACTGCTTGCTTCATTCAGGTCCTGGTTTCCAAGGTCCTTGTGTCGTAGTGCCTAAGACATTTGACTGCTAACCAGAAGGCTGGTGGTTCAAACCCACAAGCCACTCCTCAGAAGGAAGATTGGGCAATCTACTTCCACAGAGATATCACCTCAGAAACCCAGTGGTCACTATGAGTCAAATTGACTCCATGGTGGCGAGGTTTTTTTTTTTTTAATTCTACCTGCTTTTCTGTACATAGTATCTAGGCAATACAAATGGTTAACACACACAGCCGCTGATTGAAAGGTTAGAAGTTCCAGTCCATAAAAAGGCACTTTGAAAGTAAGATCTGGTGATCTACTTCTGGAAAACAAGCTATTGAGATCCCTGTAGAGCATAGCTCTGTCCTGACACACATAGGGTTGCAATGCAAAAAAAAAAAAAAAAAAAAAAAACTCACTGCTGTGGAGTCAAACCGAACTCATAGAAACCCCTCCTTGGGTTTTCAAGGCAGTATCACTACAGAAGTAGATTGCCCCACCTTCCTTCTGAGGAGTGGCTGGTGGGTTTGAACTGCCAGCCTTCTGGTCCACCTTCAATGACAGTTGAAGGCAGTCAAATGCCTTAGGCACTATGCTACCAGAGCTCCTAAAAGCGGGACTCAACTTGACAGCAGCTGGTTACACTAATTTTCTTTACATAATAACAATTGATATGCACAAAACTCCTTTGATTTCACCAGTCAACACAGTTCTTCCATTGCCCTTTGAGGATTTGGCAATGTCCATGCTAGCTTTTTGGTGTGGTGCAGAGTAATATCTCAAAGAAAAGGTGCATGGCACAGTGGTGAAGTGTTACACTGCTAACCAAAAAGGTCAGCAGAGGTTGGAACACAGCAGCCACTCTGTGGGAGAAAGATGTGGCAGTCTCCTTCCATAAAGATCCACAGCCTCAGAGACTCCATAGGCCAGTTCTACTCTGTCAGGACACAATGGGTTAGAGAGATGAGTGGTTGGTGGGGGCTTGGGGAAAGGGAGAATTGGGAGTGACACTGAATGGGTATGGGGTTTCCCTGTAGCATGCTAAAAATGTTCTAGAATTAGTTAGGAGGGATAGTTACACAACTTTATGATCATACTAAAACCAATACGTCGTTCACTTAAAATAGGTGAATTTGATGGTATGTGAATTATAAGTCACTTTTGAAAAAGAACATGGGAGGAAAAAATGACAAGCAGAGATGGGTTTCTGCTATATTTTTTGCATGTGTTGTCATTGTTTATTTACTTATTTATTTTCTC